GTGTATCTTTGGCTATGTGTATTTTCACCAAAAAAAGAAAAGTGGTTGAGAAGTTAGAGGGTTGATATGTTGTGGGGTTGTTAACCAATGTTATAAAACAACATGTGTACTTCTGTTTCATGAGAAACTATTTGTTCTGTAAGGCTTCACCTGAAGTACAATAAAAATAAATAAAATAAAATAAAGTTAATTGGAATTCAGTTAAGATTCATTGAATTCGTAGGATATAGCAACATAGTATGTCATTTTTGAGAAGTTGTTTCTGGTTTCTAAAATACACATGCAGCAAGTTGACCACCTTGAAAATGATGCTCCTTTCAGTGTTTACAGCCGTGGGTTTTTATTAAAATAATACCAAGCCACTCTGTTTTTCTTTATGGGAAGCAGTAAAGGAGACAGTGAATGTTGACTGTGTTTGAGACTCTACATGATGAAGGTGTACTGCACTCTCAGGATGGAGATAGGAAGGCACAGATGTTGAGAGGGAAAGAGGAAGCGTGCCCTCCTTGGAACCAGCCATCAAGCTAACTCCTCCGGGTGGAATATCACGAGGCTGAGCTCCGAAGTAGAAGCATAAACCACCACCACCACCATTGCCATTCATAAACTGATTGCTTATGTATATTTTGTCATGTATTTCTTTATAATAAATCCAAATATTAAGTATTTTTATCTCTATTCCATAACAAGGAAACTGAGAAACAGAGGTCAAGGCAACATGAGAGTATAACTGTTGAGGCTCAGCTTCTGTTTTTACATTCTCATCAGTTACTGGAATATTAATAATAGTTACTACCACGCATGGAATACTTACTGTGGCTCTGTATTAGGCAATTTGTAATGAGGATTAGAGATTATAGAAATAATCCTCATTAGAAACTATATGTATATCTGTATAATCTAATCCCCATTAGAATTCTACAGGGTTACATAAGTGTATTGTCATTTGTATTTTATAGATGAGAAGTTTAAGCCCAGAGCATTAAGTAGCTTGTCTCAGTTCAACAATTAGCAAGTGGTAGAGCAGGAATTTAAATTCAAGTGTGTCTGATTGGTTTTGTTTATTTGTTTGTTTGGTGGGAGGGTGGGGGCAGTCTTTGGTGGACCCTGGGAGAAAGATGAGGACCTGGTACTTTAAATCTGAGGTTTTTTAAAGTGAAGGATGCTAAGCTTAGTGAGACTTTACTAAATCCTTCAAAATGCTGCCCCACTATTCTAAGGGAGCAGAGGGATCTTTGATAGTATTTTACAGAATAAAAGCATGGGGTATTAATTCAAAAAGATCACTAGGCTCCCTCTTTCCCAGACTTCAGCTTTCACAGCACCAGTCAAATTGGCCTAATCTTTTGCTTGCTATAGGAAATAGAAATATTCTCCAAAATATATATATATATTTCAGAAATTGTTTCACAGAAAAAAATAGAGTGATGGACAAGTATGCACAGGCCTGGCTCAGTTGGTGAGCTGCCATAGAAAGTATAGCTTTACTTTTGTTTTTTATATATTGTTCATTCATTGAAAGGAGCACATCAGGGAATCATGTGGTATTTAAGAAGGACAAGAGTATCCACATAGCTCCAAAGCCACATCAGTAAGCCAGCCAGACCAGAGGAAAGAGATTACCTGACATCCCAGAACATCCATACCTAATACGGCAGTCTTCTCTGTGTTCAACACAGTGACATTTCTATTGTTCCGAGCACATGTGTAATTTAACAAGAATCAAGCCATATGCCTTGTGCTCTTATTTACTGAGGATGATAGGTGAATAAGACATAATCTGGTCCTTTCTTTAATTTATTCAGCTTTCTGCACATAGATGTTGCTAGGTTCTAGGAATATGATGGCATACAAGGTCTCTCCTTGGCTCTTACTGTCTCCTGTGGAGAGGCATATGGCTACTTATAAAACAATTGCCCCAGGTTGTAAACTATGTGATACAATAGATCTAAAAATTTCAGAGACCATTACTCATTTAACAAATATTTATTTAATGACGAACACATGAAAGCCATCATTCTCAATCCTGGAGAAGCTGTAGTGAACAGTCTCTTGGAGCTTACATTCTAATCAGAAGATGTATTATTATTTATAAATCACTTATAAAAAATGGAATTTTCATTTGCAAGATGCATTCATTACTTTTTACCCTTGACATCAATTTGAGGAAAATCACACTTGTGAGCTTTACTTCACAAGCATTACATGCACTGAAATTAATGGCAGGGATGAATTTTATATTTAACAGGGTAGTTGATGATAACAGATGAGATTTCTATTTCTCAATTATTTTTATTTTAAGGTGTTAATACCATGTAAGTCAGTAGCGAATTGTGTGTGAATACAAACTATTGCTTCTCAGAACTTCTAATAGAGATTCAGGGGCAAGAGAGCCAGGAGAACTCAACTCTGTAACTCTATGGGTCTTCCATTACTCTTTTTGGTTATCTGCTTCTCCTTTTTTGCAAGTGCTAGAGAAAAACCATCCATTTTACTTTAGAAGCTATATCTGCCCATAAGCACTAGTTTTTATTCTAGGTCAAATTACAATTTACCAACAAGCAATTCTCTGTACACAGAAAACAGCTGATAAATTCTTTTTAATCAAGTAATGAGGAAAATGCAAAGAAGAATTTGACTACCTAAGCAGAGTAAGGAAGATATAAGTTAGGCAGCAATTTTTACTTATTAACTTTTACTTACCTATTTTACTAACAAAAATTTCGGCTAACTTGACCATATGCTCATTTGTTGAAAGATTAGACAAAGATATGCTGAAAACAGGTAGTACTCTTAAGACCAAGATCTTTTCTTTGACCGCTAGGATTGGCTGCCATTTTCTAACACTATTGAGTAAGTATTAGTTCAAGAATACACCTCACATTCAAGGTGTTTTTATTTTTTTGTTTAAAAATGTAGGCATGTCAACCTTCTGTGCATTCTAATCTGGGAAGTGTTTCTTGATTTTCATGTCAGAACAATAATTATTCAGGACAGAATTTATGTACTTGTTTTGTTGGAGTCAAGGTCTGAGGCAAAGAAATCTAATACTTTGCAACCTTTTTCATGATACAGAGCTCATAGAAAACAGTGAGATGTATTCAGCACACAGGAGTTGTAGAAGGAGGCTACTCAGGAGTTCAGGTTCTAGCAGCCCTGAGACCCATCCTGCTCCCCATAATCTTCCAGGCGCACCTGTAGTCTATCTGTGGTCCACATTGACAGGTGCTGAGAACTCTGAACAAAAATGCCTACTTTTTTTTTTTTTTTTAATTTTATTTGTTGTCGTCGTTGAGAATATACACAGCAAAACATGCACCAATTCAACAGTTTCTGCATGTATCATTTAGTGACATTGATTACATTCTTTGAGTTGTGCAGCCATTCCCACCCTCCTTTTCTAAGTTTTTCCTCTTCCATTAACATAAATTCACTGCCCTCTAAAGTTCCTATCTAATCTTTCGAGTTCCTGTTATCAATTTGATCCCATATAGATAGTTCTTAAAAGAGCATAATACTCAAGGAAGACATTTTTTACTAGTTAAGCTAAACTACTGTTTGGTTTTAAGAAGACTTCAGGGGATACTTTTGGTTTAAGGTTTAAAGATTATCTCTGGGCAGTATTTCGGTGGCGGGGGGGGGGGTCCATCCAATGGCTCCAGGAAGTCTGGAGTCCATGAGGATTTGAAATTTTGTTCTAAATTTCCCCGCTTTTGATCAGGATTCTTCTATGGAATCTTTGATCCAAATGTTCAGTAATGGTAGCCAGGCACCATTCAGTTCCTCTGGTTACATGTCAAAGAAGGACGTTATTCATGGAGGCAATTAGCCACACATTCCATATCCTCCTCCTATTCCTGGCTCTCCTTCTTCTTCTCTTGCTCCAGGTGAATAGAAACCAAATGTTGTGTCTTGGATGGCTGCTTGCAAGCTTTTAAGACCCCCAGGCACTACACAACGGACTAGAAGGTAGAACAGAGGCACTAAACATATTATTAGGTGAAATAACTGAGA